CTGGTGAAATATCTCAACTCTTTTCATGTATCCTGAGAGTCAGGCAAACAGCCAGCACTTCCACACGTGATAGGTTATACCCTCACAGGCCACACGCTGAGGGAGCCCATGGGGACCCAGCCTTCATTCTGCTTACCAAACCCAGTGTCCTGGTGCAGAACCCACCCCAAAGGGTCACCCTTTTCTAGTCCCCACAGGAAGACTGATGGGGTAAAGGCAACCCTGCTTGGGTTTGCATCATTTGATGTCACTACAATCCTTTGAAATTGGGATTATTGTCTCATTACAAGCCTGGAGAGGCTGGAGGATCTGTCAGACACCTCACTGCTCGGCAGAGAGAGACGGGGTTTGGATCCAGGTGTAATGATCTCGTGCTCATTACAGGTGTAATGTAATGGTCTCGTGCTCCTTTCTTTTCCCCATTGCCAGATCTTCCTGCTCTAAGACCTGGCACAGTGCAGCAAACATTCTTGGAATGAGGATTTTGTAGGTACCAGTAATTTTAAGGTATGAAAATTAAATCTCATGAAATCACACTCCAGTATTTAGCATAGCCCCTTCAATTTATTGTTAATCTCTGAAGCAACTCCAGTGGTAAGATTTTAATTGACAAAAATTGTAAGCCTTGGTTGCCAAATAAGTTTTGAACTATCATCCCAACTCATGTATTTATAGGAAGCTCTAAAAACAACTGTAATTGCAACTTGACTTTGTGTGTCAGGAAAGTGCTAAGGTATTACTTTAAAACTGAGGTTGATAAGAGCTCGCTCAAGAGTTTGAGCTCTGAGCAATAGCGGTTCGATGCCCGGCCTGAGCTGAGGTGCCGCTGAGCTGCCAATAGGTGGCAGGATGGCTCAGCTAAAAAACAAACAAACAAACAAAAAAACTGAGGTTGAAGTCTGCTGATACATATTCTCAAATCAGGTCAAGAATGAGAAAAGTAAATTGCCCTGTAGTCTATTAATTCTTAACTTTTCAATATGGAAGGTTTTCATACCATTGTTGTCATAATTTTGTGTTATAAAAATTATAACATGGATAGTTGCGAAGTAATCATAATGATTCTTGACTAGCCTTACCTTCTGAGGCATGGTGCTAAAACAGATATAAAGATAGGAAGGGTCAGCGAGTATTTTCATTCACCTAATTTTGTAGGAATCCTGGTCAGTACACTGGTTAATTGTGGTCACTAGTATCTCTGTTTATTTTTTTTCTTTTCCGTCTAGTTTGCAAAATCTTTTAGGAGGAGGCTCAGACTGAGGGGAGCATCCCTAGATGTTGGCGAGGGAGGAAGTAGGACAAAAGAGATGATTAGGACTGCGTCTGCCAAGGCGTGGTCTTGTTCTAGACATGAGAGTTGAGATTGGCTCTCGTGTGTAGTGATTTGCATTTCCTAAAAATATATACATGTCTGTATATATTGAACATAGAACCCTAGACCTGGCAGAAACCATAGAAGTCATCTGCTTTGTGTCCTGGGCATTCCTGAGAGATGTTCCTCCTGCTTCTGCTCCCAGTGAAGGTGTAGTACCTTCCATCATTGGGGAGCATTAGCTGTTGGAAAGGCAGCCTGCTTAATGACTTGGGTCCTCTCTTCCTGTGATTTGCAGCCTTGAGTCCTGCTAATACCGTCATCACACAACTACTAGCTTCAAGCACAAGGTTGTTTAGCACATCTGAACTCTTCCATCATAGCAACACGTAGTCTTTTTATCTTTTTGTTCTTCAGTTGATGCTCACAGGACCTGGCTGCCAGAACCTTCATTATTCTGTTTGCAATCCTCTCTGTGGGTCGTGCCTTTGCTGAATCCTAGTATGGATGTTTGGAGTGACAGTGTTTCCTAATCTGCAGCCCGAGGTTGTATGAGCTATAGCACGTTGCTCGTTTGACAGGATAGATTTTTCTTTCTGACTTGAAATAGCGAAATACTGGGTTGTAAATTTAGCACACGTCTCCTGGATTGCTTATACATAAGCTGTGCCTTGAAATAAGAAACTGGCTTTCTCTGAAAATGTGGTGAATGATTCACATAGGAGAAATTCCATTTGTGTTTTTAACTCGTAAAAATCACCTCAATCTGGGAATAAAAATGCAGTTCGGCCGACTAAGCCTGTGTCCATGTGACTATGTCTCACGGAGAGGCAGAATCCACCAGCATGAGAGAAGCACATTCTGAATTCTGACATCCGATTCGACAAGTATGTGGTTTTCTCTGATGTGGCCTTTTGGTGCAGAGGAGAGGAGATCTTTCCCTTACTTCTTTTCCTCTATAGACATTTCTGCCACCCAAGGAAGGTCTGGTGGTGTTGGGTAGTCTCGGGTGAGAGCCCTGAGTGTGATCTTTTTGGCCACAAAGATCTCCCAGGTGGAGTTTCTGGCTGCACACGGAAAGCTCTTCATAGTTAAATGACCAAGGAGCGCACGTAAACCTTGGTGCCTTGGTGTAAGCCTGCCTCCAACGCTTGGAGCCTCTTCTCATTCTGTGCTGACCCAGTCTTGAGACGAGCACACAGTGTCGTGGTACCACCTACCCTGCCATTTATTTAATCGATTTGGATGACTTGTGCTGCTCTTGGCTATGGACCTGCAAAAACAAAGCCATAGGACGAAGCGGCCTGAATCCTGTAATGAAAACCTTGTACCTTTTTTGAGGCCTGGTAGAGAGCAGTGATTTATTTTTGCCGTACCAAATAAAACATTCGAGGAATCCAAGGTGAAAATTGGATTTTAACTGCTACTAAAATTTTGGGCATATAAAATCAGCAAGTGTTGAGAGTTTTGCTTGATTAAGAGAAGAACTTAAAGAGTCTGGTACAAGAATGAACTCCGTATGACGGGCACTGGTGTCTTCCGTAAAGCTGATTGATAAAACTGGAAATAAACATTAAGCGCACTTTGGCAGCTGATTGCAACAGGGGAGACCTCCGTGTTCTTAAAGATCACCATTTTGTTTCCAGTCTTACACCTGGAGCATTATTTCCTCTTCCTCCTTCCTTGCGTCGTATTTCAGATTTAAGCCTTCTGTGATTAAGCCGAAGGAGCCTGGGAACTCCCTGAGTCCAGCCAGTACGTGCTCGTCTTCTCTCAGAGTCTCCGTTTTGTTGGTGTGTTACCTCGCCTCTCCCCACCTCTCATCATATACTGCTTTTGGAGAGCACACAGCATCCTGGCAAAATCATGAGAAAACATTAAAAAAAAAAACTAAGGACTTCAAAGCTATGATGTAACTAAAACTTCATTAACTCTGCTGGGCCATCTCTGGTTTTGTTTTACAATTTGGACATGTCGTCACTTAGAGCCTCAGTCAGAATGCTGCATGCCTGGACCTGGTGGCAAAGAGGCGCTGTCCCTGGAGGCCTGCCAGGTGACTGGTGTCTGGTACCTGCTGCCCTTCTGAGGCTCACCACCTGCCCGGATGTTCTGTCACCGCGTTCTACTCACTAGCCTGTGCGCGTTTGCTAATTTCCATTGGCTTTTACAGAGCCACTGCTTGCCTGGGTAGACTGCAGCTCCCTCCCTTCCCCCTGCCTCTCTTCCTCAACATTTACTGAGCATTTGCAATGTGTACTGTGTCTTGGGATATAAAGATAAATAATATGCATCTGTATTCAATTAAAATGCATAGCGGAGACAGTGGAGCTGTGTAGAATGTGCCCTGGAGTACAGGGGAGGGAGGAAAATGCTAAAATTTGAGGAGACACGAAGCTTCACGTGAGGAGGGTTCTTCAGAGCTGGGGCTCACGGGGATAAAAAAAGTTTCTCCAGGCAAAGGAAACAGGAGGCCATTAGGGAGAGAAGAAACGACTTTGGAAAGGCAGTTTGTTTAGACTCTTGGCGTCCTTTGGTGTGCCTCCAGGGTGGGTGTAGCAAGGTGAAAAGGGACAGGGAGAAAGTGAGAAAGAAGGTATTAGGCAGGAATTGGAGGGGCCTTCTGTGTCATGTTAGGGAGTTTGCAGCCAACAGACAGTGGAAGCCACTGAAGGTGTTTCATCAGTAACGTGATCAGATTTGCTTTGGGAAGATGACTCTTGCAGCCTTTGGGAGGATATTATAGAGGTTGAGGCAGAGAAAGGCAGAGTGACCCCTTAGATGTGGGGAGTGGGCTTCGCCTGCCCAGGAGAGATGGACTCCGCTGGCTCTCCCTGCACAGCTGGCCTCGGATTGGTACACAGAGCAGGATGTGTTTTCTTAGCCCCTTCCCGACCCCATGGAGGAGGTCTGACTTCAGGCCCCGGCCTCTCAGCCTCTTTTGACCTTCTGTGATTGACTAGGGTCATGAGATGGGTCTTTCCACTTGACAACTCGAGTTGCTCCAGCAGCCTCTGAGCCCTGTCTTCTGCCTGCTGCTCTTACTTAATCTTGCCAGCATCTTCCTAGCTTGGCCGACCGCCCTGGGTCAGACTGCTTGGCCGCCTGGAGCCCTCGTCCCTGCCAGAACTGATCTGGCTCAGCCAGTGACCATTTCTTCTTGTACTGTCCTCTGCTGTTCTTTCCCTGCCCAGACCTTGGTGTTATAGGAGAACCAATAGCCTCTGTAGACAGGACGGGTGCCCCCTTCTCCCCGTTTACACACATACCACGCCCTGAGAGCTCTGTTCCCTGATGACCCACCGGAGAGAGGTCAGTAGACAGTTCAAACTAAGATTTCATCATTTATATTGATCATTTAAGTTTTCAAGTTCTCATTAAGGGGGAAAAAAAGCATTGGAAACGTAAGTTTTATAGAGTGCTCTGAGCAGTGACAGATTTTCATACAACTCTAAAAATACCAAGAAGCTCTGGAAAATATGCTCTCTCATTTTAGCGTCGTCTTGATTCTGTTCTGGTGTTTGGTGTTTTGTTTTGAAGTTTTAGAGGGTTTTTTTTTTTTTCCCCCTCGCTCTCTAATTCGGTTGATAACAAGGGAACTGTTTTATAACATGGCTGAAGCACAGCCGAGCTCAGGAGCTGGGCATCCTGCGCTCAATTAACCTGCATATCTCACACCTCATCATTGCAGTGTGGCAAAGCGCTCCCCGGCCTTTCAAAGCAGGAGGACTGCTGTGGCACCGTGGGTACCTCCTGGGGCTTCCACAAATGCCAGAAATGCCCCAAGAAGCCGTGTAAGTGACGTTTCAGCATTCCTTTGTAGGTTCATGTAGCATATCTGTTTCCTGATGATTACTGTTCTAGTGGTGAGGCAGCATTAGACTTGGAAAGCACGCTTGTTGAAACATAGTGCAGTAATTTGCATTTCCAGAAACCTTGCCAGTCTGAGAAAACCCTCATATCGATTCTGTTTTTTAACAAGCATAGTTATCAGTTGCCTTCTTCAGTTGGATTATGTATTTTTTTAAAAGAGCCTTTTAAGAGGCAACATACTAAAATAGGCTCTATTTTCTCAGGCGAAAGGAAAATAAGATAGCTTTTAAATTGTTAATGAAATGTTTCAAACCCTATGAAAAGTCAGTGCAGTTGTTATGTCTTAGGTTAAATCCCTTAAATGAAATTTTTATCAACAGCCACAACATCTGTTGTAGTTATTGTTGTAGCGTGTTTTCAAATTTCACTTAAAAAAAAAGAAAAAAAAAACTCAAAGAAATGATTGGTTGCTGATTTGTAAAGATAAATTTATAATCACTAAGACACAGTACTTTCTCATTTTCCTCTTAGTCACTACTTTTATACAATCCCAATTTTCAATGACATGACTCTATATTGACACCTGCATACTTTGATTATTCTATAAAATCTGTTTCTCAGAACCTGTTGATTTGATTAAATACAGATTTACATCTTTTTGTTACTTCTAAATTATAGTTTGCATTTTTAGTTTTTGAGCGTAGTATTAACTCTGGATAACTGATTTCTAATACTTTTTATAAAGACAGAGGTAACTTGTTTTAAGTTGAGTGTTTTTACAGTTATTCCTCATGTTTTTGCCAAGAAAGCAAGTGATATTTTTCTCAGTCATCTTTCTTTGCCTTGTTTAACCAAAGATTTTTATAGTTTTTTTTTATACTTTATGCTACAAGGAATTTCTTATTTGTTTCAACTGGATAATGTTTATACTTTTCTTAAACATGTTGATTTGTTGATATTCTCAACTGCCATTTAAACCCCTGTTAAATTTAGAATCTGCCATTTTGGAATCACTGCTCCCTATGTCTTTTTATATACTATTCTTCTATCATAATAACTTGTTCTAAAAATTGTCTCTCATTTGCATTCCCTTCTCTCTCAAACGTATATATTCTCTAAATCTTTGGATGCCTGAAGTTATTTTCATTTATTTTGTTGATTTTGCCCTTATATTCTTTTAGAGGACCAATTGTGGAAATATCAACTAAAGTTTCCAATAATAAATGAATTCTTCATTTAGGGGAAAAGGCCTCATAAATAAGGACACTCAGTTCTGAGAAAATGTCCTCAGTGGACTTTCTATTTTGATTTCATAATGATTGGCAATGTGGATTTCCAGCCAGTCAGTTTAGTGTGATGGTCCCCTCACTGAAAAATCCATAATCTAAAATTATGTTGAGAGCCGGATCAAAGGGGTATCTAGGAGACATTTGATACAATTTAAAGAGTATGAAGTTTGGGGTTAGATAGACCTGAGTTTGACTCCCAGCTCTCATTTGCTGTTGAGTCTTATGGATCATGAAATGAGAGTCTGTATCTAAAATGGTGAAAAGCATTGCCTTTGCCCTTTGCCTTTTTTTTTTTTTAATTTAAGACTGCCTACCCTGCGTTGACTGTGTATGTTTGTCTTGAGGAATGTTGTGGAGGGTGGTATGTTTCCCACTGCTAGGTCTAAGGACTGAAGAAAGAGAAGTCCAGTTCTTACAACTTGGTCTTGGGGCTAAGTTTTTGTGTTCTAATAATTTTCCCATCTTACCCCTTATTTTTGTTTTTCATTTCTCCCTTTCTCTGTGTATCTTTTGCTTATAGCTTCTTCTTTTTCCTCTCTTTTCCAAATCCCAAAGTACAAGACAGAAGTAAAGGGAATCATAGTTTTTTTGTTTGTTTGTTTTTGCTTTTTAATCCCTAACTTCCAGTCCTGACCTTTTATCTTTTTTTTTTTTAATCTTGAATTTTGCTGGGATTAAATTCACTGCTTTATATGGTTTTGTTAGCTCTATATTTTAATGTTGATAATAATTTAAGCAGAATGTGAAAGTACAAAGTTGCAACACTTTTAACTACAGGCTGATGAACATAACTTCATATGTTGGCTATAAAACTGAAGAGATTGATTCCACTTCAGGAAGGGCAGTGCGGATTATGAATGAAGTAAACTAGTAACATCTTGACATTTACTCCGTTTGTGCTGAACTAAGTGACTCACTCCCAAGAAACACACTCGGGGTCACATTCTTTCTGTGTCATTTAAAAACTTTCCTTTCCTTGGTTGGTACTACTCTCTAAATCATATTCGTTTTGGAAGAGAGCAGACTTTCCTTGGCTTTATATACTATGGTTTTGTGTTCCATGCCCCCCTTTTTTTTTTCACTCAAAGTAGTTCAAACTTCAGTTTTCAAATGGCTTTTATTTAACGTTTGAAGTTTTTGTTTAGGCATGTACAGAAAAACCTTTCATTGTTGATCAGTTTTTACTGTGAACACTGAATTTTAAATCTGCAAATGATTTCATTAAACAGTCTGCAATCTATTAAAAATGTACTTAGCATGAGCAAGTCACTTGTCTTTGAAAAGATTTTAGAAGAAAATTAACATTGAATCCTATGCTGAGGAAGACTTGAAGAGATCATCTGGTCTGACTCTGCCTTGAGGTAGATGACTGTCAAACTTTTTAAACAAGTTGTTATCTCTCTTTTGCCTTTGAACAATGCAGAGAGCCCACAATCTCTGTAGGCAGCGTGCTCCAGAGTGTCTTCATTATATGGGAAAAGACTAGATATGCAGCCAAGGATCTGAATAGGGCGACTCCCTCGTGCAGACCCCTCCTTTATTTTAACTCACTAATCCAACACTCTTCACTTTAACCATTTTCCCCGCATTCCGAAGGATCTGAAGAGGGGAAATATGGCAAAGAAAGGAAGTGAAGGAGGAGAGAACATGAGTAGTCAATATTCACTCTGTTCCATTAGTGGTGACAATGAAGAACATGTGTCGGAGCAAAATAATTTTATTTTCCGTAAGAAGAGTTCTGTGTTACTTCCAGCTTTCTTACTCCTTGTTCAGGCCTTTTTATTGGTCTAACCATCTCTCCTATTTTGATTATAGCCCGTTTTCTATTGCTTGTTCTCTTCTTAATAAAAGAATTCCTTATTGCAGGAAATAGCAGTGACATCTGTCACTTAAGTGGGTGCTAACTTTTGTCAGGCACTGTTGCAGGCATTTGCATACATTATCTCTCAGCTCCATAATAGCCCTGATCTGCTCGGTTGATGTGATACTCCCATTTGTACATAATTGCCATTTGAAAACCAGGACACTTGTCTCCCAAGACTGCAGATCTGTTGCTAGGCAGAGCCAAGATTTGAACCTCAGTCTGCTTGGTCCCAGAACTTATGCTATATTTAATAAGCCAAGAAGTCCTTCGGGTCTCACTTTAGAGCATTCACATTTCAGTGAATAGGGTTTTGTTGGCAAATTGGTAACTGCAACATTTGTATCGTTGATGAGTTTTCTGAGTGATGAACCCTACAACTGATCCCAGCAGCCCCTTTTCATCTCCTAGCTTCCTCTCATCATTTCCTATTCTTTCAGGTTCATATTAGTAAGAGTCAGCTCATAACTGGAATACATGAACCTCCAGTTAAGGCAAGCATATGATTTTATTGACTAAATTGGGACACTTTTGAGAGTGAAATCGAGTGCTATTCATGAACTTTGCTGGAACAACAGACATAACTCAGGAATGTTCCAAGCAGACGTGGACATCTAGTCACCCTACCTATGATAAGAAAGTGCAGATGCTGGTAGCAAATCATTGGAGAGGAAGAGATCCTTTGTAAAATAATGAATCACTAATTAGAAGAAAATATAAAAGTCTGATGTTTCTTTCGTTTTAACATAATCAACATTTACTGACAAGGTGTTAGGACTTTATCTGTTGCCAAACATGAAGTATACTGAAAAACAGGAGAATGAGAAAGAGATTAATATGCATTGAAATAGTATCTTAGATATAAATAAGACCACTGATGCCTTAAATGGCTTTGGTTATCACATATAGTGTTTAGTATTATAAAAATTTACACTAAGCAAGTAACACAGAATTATTTCTTCCCTTACAGCTTACCATGGATATAACCAAATGATGGAATGTCTACAAGGTTATAAGCGGGTTAACAACACCTTTTGTCAAGGTAAGGTTAACTGAATTCATTGATATGGACTCAATAGTTGTTTTGGCCTTTTAGAAACCTGAGTTGTTTTGCCATGTTTTGCTCATTAGCCTGGCAGGTGAAGGTCACACAGCGAACCAGCTCCTGCTCCCTCCATTTAGCTATGTGGAAATACAGAGGTTTCGTGTATGGTTGCTGGAATTGCTGCGCTACCATTTAAGCTTTATGGAACTTTTTTTCCCTTCTGTTAATTTGCAATGAAATCCACAGGAGATTGGATTACATTACAAATCACCTGGTGGTCTCTATGGTAGTTACCTAGTATCCACATGTGGGCACATGTGTGTGTACACGTGTGCACACATGCACCTAAGTACTACTTCTATGCTGCCATAGGATTGGGCAGCAGAGATTTCTTTTTTTCCTCTCACCAGAATACTGCTGGTCACCTCTAAGTATTCAAGTATTAAATATCAGAGTGAACACACATTAACTAGGCGGTAGGTAAAACTGTGTAGCTAAATGTGAACTGTCCTGAGTCATTTTGCTCCAATTTTTTTTGAACGGTACAGCAAAGTCGAATAAGCAGGGGGAACCTCAGAGATCATTTAGCCCAGTGTCAGCTCTTTACAAATGAAGGACATTGAAGCCCGGGCTGGTTAAGTGACTTTCCTGTGGCTAAATAGAGCTAAGGTTGTACGTGCCTTAAGTTTACCAATGCCTAGTTTAGTACCCAGATATGATAACAAATTTGGTTTGTTATTTTGTGGGATACCCAATGAATGGTCCCAATTTCTCATTACGTGTCCAGGATGAAAGTGTTTTTATTAGTTACTTGGGAATATGTGTACATCAAAATAAACAGAGGAAGAACTTCCAAGAGTCTTATTAAGCTAAAATCCACGTCAGGAACTCAAAATCTGTCTTCTGACTTGAGGTCTGGGGCTCAGTATCCTTGACCAGTATGTGTTTATAGGACAGAATAGATTAAGGTGATGTTACAAAATATAGATTCATCCCTATTAAAATGGTTCATGTCAAAGGAATACCTGAATTGCCTGAGAATTCTCTCAAGTAAATTGTCTATCCGTACTGCATCTCTGTAACTTTTATGATTTGTGGAGCTTTTGCTGACTTAAAGAATTTTCTTTTGAAATGCATATAGGTACACCATGTCTTTAATAAGTTTTGCCTTAAAATGTTATAAGCCCTCTTCATAAGTGAAAGAATTTTTGAGAAAGTTAGATTTAACTGCTCAAGGAGAAGGTGTCCAAGACACTTTTCGAAAAACATCTGCAAATCTTAGCATGGGAATAATGGAATAATCAACGTTATTTAAGAATCAGTAGATTGTATTAAATGGATGAAAGATTGAATTGAAGGGATGGGAGAAGGAATAGGTTCACTGAATGAATAGATGGTTAAATGTATATTTTACAGTGTAAGCCAAGTTATAGTTTCACAGATTTGAATAAAAACCTGTATGAAAAGCCCCAGCCCATTTGAGGATGCGTTAGTAGTAATGACCTTGGACTCTACCAGTCAGACTGAATTTGGGGTTTGGGTGTTCAGTGTTCGTTGTCTTTTGGCTAATAAGGTTAACCAAGCTTGTGAAGGGCCTGAAAACATGAGGGTGTTTAGTGAGGAGACGTGCAGACCGAAGAGAAATACAATGGCTGCTTTATACACGTGCATTAAATGTTTGTAAACATGCCTTTAAATGTTTGATTAACTGTCTCACAAAACAAGACTTGTATGAATCGCTTCAAAAGCCAAAGTCAATAGGATGGAGTTACAAGGAGGCGTATTTACAACTACAAGAAATATTTTCTGTGGACTAGAGTCCCCCAACATTGTACTGAAACGCCTTTGGAAGTGCTGAGCGTCCTGCACATAGAAGTGTTCCACAGGTGCTCTAACCAGTGGCCAGGGATGCTATAGGGAATTTCGGTCCTGTGCAGTACGTAAGGGTAGATCACTGTAGGGACATTCTGGTTCTCTGATACTGTCATTGCTCTGTTGTCTGGGATAGAGGCTGGGCATGAGAAGACAGAGCGACATCTTGGTCTGTCCCACAAGTTTTAGCCTTTAGAGACGTGTAGTTTCCTGAATTGTCCCCTGTGACTAGGCGTATCCACTTGCTCCACTAGACTGTAGGTGGAGGACGGTCCTTATTTATCCTTCACTCTTCTGATCCTGCATGGCTCGTTGTTATGCAGATACTCTCCAGTGTTAGATGCTCCTACTTTTTCTGAATGTTAAATGATGATGAATACACGTTTTCTTGAGGTGGGGTAGGATTTGGACATTATTAATCCCACTTAGAAACTGAGACACAAGTAACTTTCCCAAGGTCACTCAGATAATAAGAGGCCCAGCCAGGATTAAACTTCCAAACCACCTCTGTTTCTGAGTACAATATGGCCTCCTTTACCAATTTTATTTATTATGTAGGTATATCAAGTATTATTAATGTAAATACTAATGTAGATACTAATGTAGATATATAAAGTATTACTAATGTAGATACTAGCTAATTGGAAGAGGAGAAATGTCATCCTTTGTGAGAGCTGATACAGGTCAAAGCAATTAATATTTATTTGGTTTTGTTTCCTCTACTGCCTGATTCAAGGTTCTCAGAATTTGTATTCATAAAAATACCATTGTAGAAGTGGAAGTGAAAATTTGCAAGCAATCACTTGCTATCTCATTTAATAAAATAAAATGGAGAATCCTTTAAATAATTACCTGAGGGTTTTTTTGTTTTGTTTTGTTTTGTTTTGTTTTGTTTTTGTATTTTCCCCTCCTGGTATGAAGTGACCTTTAGCATATTCTGTTCATACTGAGCATATCAAATGGTTTCACTTGGTCATTTTAGTATATGTGCTGCCGAAGCGAGCACATCCACTTGGTCATTTGCACCGATGGTCAATAACACCAAATCCTTGCTTACATTTGTCTCAGGAGGATATTTGCAAAACAGCGTTATACTTTTTGGCATGGATTCTAGAGTGAAGTATCACAGAAAATTCTATTTCATGGTGCCTCAGGAAGGCACCGCTAAATGACGCTACAGAGAAGATTGACTTATAAAAATAATATGATTTCATTCTGCACAATCTATTAAAATTGCTTTTGATAGAAGGGCTTAATTTCACTCCCTTCATGATATCCTTGGTCAGTAAAATTAAATAGAACTTTCTCACATTACATGGATACACTGAGTTTTCTTAGAGCTTTGAAACTTTTTGGTTTTGTTAGCCTAAAGTTTTCAAAAGGAGCCCGTTAAGCATCTAATTACTTGTGCATTCCACATTGTACTCACAGTTTAATGTCTTCTCAGTTTATGAAGCACATTTAAAATTAAAGTGATTAATAACTAGAATTACATTTTTCCTTCAATGAAGTGAACTAACGTTCCTGATACAACATTCACTAATGTGCGCTCAGTAACAAAGAACCAACTGTGCACAGGTTAATTTGAGGAGCTTTCAAATAATTACACTCAAAGTTGGTTTTTTCTTCTCTCTAGCGGTGCTGCAATTATCTTTTCAAAGGAATGATTTATTACATATACACACATGGAGCTCTAAAACCTGCCTCACTACCCTCAACATTATGGAATTGTTATAATTTGCTTCATTTATCATAACAAACAATACAATTATATTTCCTTGTGGCTCTAGAGCAGCATTCGTCATTTGTCATTTGATTATTATGCTAGAGGTTTCAATGTAGAACAAGAATTAAATGAAATAATATATCACGGAAATGATGATAATAGGAACTGCTACTTTCATACTGCTTTACTCTAAAGCTAAGTTTTTTCCCCTGAATTTTAAGGACTCTCGCTTGCCCATAATTTTAAGGATTCTTACTTGCCTGTAACTTTGCTAAAGTGAGATAAATGAGTTCTTAAATTAGGTATAAATCTAAGTTTTAAAAATAGAATTTGTTTCTGAAAGTACTTGGGAACCAATCTATTTAGTGAATCATTTTATTAAAAGCAAATAATCTCATGTGATATACTAAAATCACTTACCTGGTTCATGGTTTAGGTATAAAATCAACTTAGTATTATTTTCTACATTTTTATTGTAGCAGGTATCCAAGTGCTGTGGGCAATGCCAAGATGTATTACAAGAAGACCTCTACACTTTTATAATCCAGTGGAGGTATATTCCTTTTTCCCAGATAATTCTGAAAACTTAAAAAAAAAATGCAATGTCCCACAAACATTATTGGCAGGGCACTGCTGGGCTACAGGCTGAGGATATGTGATGAATGATGAGTAAGACATTGTTCCTGCCTTTGGATCTGGTGTAATTAAATCAGTTTGAATCAACAGGATGCAATTTCCTTTTTTCAGTGTCCCAACTAGCTGAATTTTAGCTGGCTCCAGATGAGCCTGTTAAAGCAAATATGAAAGAGCTGTCCACATAACTTTCTCTCGGCGTCACTTTATCACACCAGTTCTTCTGCTTTAATAAAATAAATTTACAGCACAGATACATTAGGGCACCATAATACTCATTAGTAAAACTTTCGCTGTAGGGCTCCTTTTTCGATAGCTCATTAAAATGCATATGAAACCAAATTTTCTTTGGACCATAGAAAAGATGATGCACGGTTTTTTTTTTAAGGATATATCTCTGTGATGAAATGTGGCTCACCGGGGTTGACAATTATTACATATAAGTAAGCCATTAATAGGACTTTTTCGTTATAAAGAGCTTGCCTGGACTGTAGCTTGCATTTCAGACCTCTTAATGATTGACAGAAAAATTGATTGTGACTGCAGTATGGTGAGCACACAGAGGAAGGTTGGTCTTTGAGTGCCTTGAGAAGACTGGAAAGTGCAGGTCAGACCCTCAAGAAACTATGCTGGACTAGAGAAGAGAATGTGGCCTGTGGTGTAGTGCCGGGTTAAAACAGATAGGTAGGGTGAGATGAAGTGATTCATAACTTTAAGGCAAGGCTCTTCTGATTAATTGCATGCACCATGTACAGTGTAACAGGCT